GGGGACCAGCCCTAAGGAAGGGTTGAATAAAGGAAACTGCATACATCTGGCCAGTTTCTGCTAGCCGCTAAATCAAATTTGCAGCTTTTACAAGCAGGAAGTCACACTTGGATAGGCCATGTGGTGCACGCAGTTGTGTGTCTTTTCATGGTGTTTTTCTTCGGCTCTAAAATATTTTACACACGGAAAAAGATCACTTTTAATTGCATTTATTGTAGCTTAGTTTCATTAAATTATTGTGTGCCTCTTATTTTGCAAGGGTTAAAATTTTGAGCTAACATGCCAGCTGTATGCATGATTTACATCAGCAGCTTTTACATAATTGATACTAAGAAAAGTGCTTGAGGAATGCAGACAGTGTGCGGATCTGTAAAGCTGTTATGAGTACAACACAACTGTAATTATTGCAGAGGGGTGGATACTCAATTGTATGTTTAGTGGAAGGAAGGATTACTAAAACTATTAATGGAAAGCTTTAGTGGAGTTTGATAATGACTATGTGTGCTCTTTAGTACCTATAGCTGCTATTAAGTAGTAAACAAATGCACTACGTATTTGCAAACTCAACTTGTTCTTCAAGTAGAAAACTTATTCATTAGTTTATTCAACTTCTGTAGCAGTATTGTACATTAATTATATATGTATGTATGTATGTATGTATCTCAAGCTGTCTGGCTTGCAAAAGGAGGGATTTTACATGTGAGCAGAGTATAGTTAAACATCCAGTCCTTGTCCTAGGTTTTTGGGCAGACCACACTCACTGCCTCTGCATTCAGAGCTTTTACAAAAGCCATTGCAGAGTAAAAACTCTGACTTTGGAACATTTAACAGAGAAACACGGAAATAATTTTCACGTTATCGATTAGAAAAAGTGTTATGTCTTTGGACATATCTAGCTGTCAAATGTTGTTGCTAAAACAGTATTTTCAATATTGTTGAAACTTGTCAGACATGGTTTATATTTTCCCTGTTCGTCAACAATCCTTTAGAGTTTTGTAGTAATTTTTCCCTTTAACTCTCTTCTTCATCCAGCAAAGGTGGTAGCACATCAGTGAATTTTGTTCTCTGTCTAGTCATTCTCTTCCCGATTCTGGCTCTTGTGTCCTAGTACTGTTGGCAAATGCTCTAGGAGATGTTTCAGATGAGGTTTTGATGACAGTTATTTGAGATTTCAGTAAGAAATTTTTAAGACTTATAAATACTTCTTTTTACTAATAAGATATAAACTTGGCTCAAGCCCTCTGCAATAATGTCCTTTTAAAGTCACGCTTTAGTCATCCTTTCTATGTATTGCTTTTCATAATGATCGTTGG